GCCATCACTTCATGTAGGTTCCTAGCGCTAGGAGGGAGGCATTCAAACCTACTCAAAGGGGTAAAAGACTTTACTGTACTCGCAGGCCTATACTTTAGAGTGTTCCAGGATTATGACACACTATTTGTGAGTGAACTCTGGAGTCAGGTATCACCTTGATGTGATTCCCAGAACTGTAATTCATGCCTTCACTGTGAATTAGACACTGGGAGCTTATATCGTTGTTTTCTGACTTCTAGGCAACGAGTAACATTTGAGGAGATTTTACCATCCTCTACTCCATTGCCTGCATTGGATCTTCTGAAGAAACTTTTAGTATTTAACCCTGATAAACGACTCACAGCAGAGGAGGCTCTGCAGCATCCTTATGTGAAAAGGTGAGAGTAATACTAATGTACAGTTTCCCCGATGTCTTTTGAGACGTTATAGACCTGCTCTTGGCACAAGTTTTCTTTATATGCATGATAGGAAAAAAAAAAGACAAAGCTAGTTCTTAATTTTCTCTAACCTTATTTACAGTAGAGGTCATACTAGATGATTTAACAATCCTTTTTAACATTATATTAATCTGTGGTGCTGTTTTTAGTCTTAGTGGATTACATTATGTGTTATCATCTTCTTAGGTTTCACTGTCCTGCCAGGGAGCCCTCTCTGGATTATGATGTGATTCTTCCTTTAGGTGATGATATCCAGCTGTCTGTGGCAGAATATCGAAATAAATTATATGAGGTACTTTCTCTTACCCTATTTTCCAAAATCCTAATCCTCCAGGTAACCTGCCATTCTTGCACGCACTTAATGAATTCTGTCATTTTCTTCTATTTGCATTCCCCTAGGCTTTCCATACATGCTTACAGTTACATCTTGGTGTTTCCTATCAGTCAGTTCCATACTGTCATAATTTTTGAGAGGTCTTTAAATCTAGATTCCCACTGGGAAAAGAAAAGACTGTAAAGCATGATGTCTGAGAAAGACTGTTGGGTCCAGCATAATATATTTTCCTCTAACACAGTCTAAGAGATGCGAGGCTGCTGCCACTCCATGTCCCCAGGTCCAGCCAGTAGCAAGGCTGAAGATGTATTCTCAGTAGGCGCACGCACACAGAAAACACATACACGCTACATATATACATATACACATGCTGGCCACATGGATCACAAACAGGCACTCAGAGCACTCACACAAACATAGAGAGCACCAACAGCTCATCCTCCTCCCTTCTCTGGCTGAGCAAGATAGAAGTCCACTCATGAGAATATATATACATACGTACAGGGTGGATCCCCGCAGCAGCTGGCCTCAGACACTCAGTCTGCTCAGTAGCCAGCCCCTGGATCCCAGTCTTCTCAGTTGCTGGCATGTGGATATACAAGCCCCCAAGGCTGCAGCCCTACTCCAGTTGCTGGTACAGACCATGCAGACAAACAGGTGGCCAGGACTTTCCAGGTCCCTTAGTCAACCTCTGCCCCACCCCACCCCCAGTGTTCTCACCCCTAGAGATACACAGGTGCGCTCACACCCAGAGCTGGCCCTTAGAGTCTCACTCACCCCCTTGCTCCCAGGCCACTTGATCTATTCACCCACTAGTATGACTTGATCTTTGCTAGCAATCACATGCTCACTCACACACCTGCACTCTCTTAAGTTGCTGGCACCATGGTACACACGGGCCCTCTGACCTGTGATCTGACTCCAGTTGCTGGCACTCACATCTGCATACCCACACACGCAGACAGAATAGACAGCCTCTCTTCCAGGAAAGAGAAAGGAATTTGATAAGAAGACAGAGCAAACTGCATTGATCAGGTGTAGGGCATGGCTAGACAAGCTTATTGACCAGCCAGCTATTTACACACGACTGGCTGTTTTTATACCTCTTAACCCCTATTTCCCACACTCGATCCTCCCCAAATCACCTAAACCCCTCCTTTTCCCTGCTTTTTGTTCCTAACCTAAACATCCCGTAAGTCGTCCTGTGTGATCCCAAATGGCTTTCCCCTGCATCCCATAATGTGTCCAACCCCTAGGCAGCAACCTCTACCGTCTCACCCCCTCATCCCCGGGCACCCTTAGTCCAAAAGGTGATCCAGAGAAATCCTGATGACTCATTGTGATGAGTTTCATGCCTGGACAATGGGGCTCATGGCTTTGCTGGGACAGCCCTGGATGTTTTAGGAGCCATATTTTGAATTCATTAATATGGGCAAATAGTAGTACTTGAAAAATGAGGAAATGGTGCAATAATCAAGCAAATAAATTAAAAAAAAGCTGATGCAAAATCTTTAGTTGTACAGGGACAAGGAAAGATAGTACTTTTGATGCTGTCTGGTATATGCAATAAGATCAAAAGGAAAATAAACATTTGATTAATGTCTAAAGAAGTGAAAGAAGAACAAAGATAAACACAAATCAGAACTAATTATAAGAGACACTGAACTGATCTGGATGGTAGTGTTGAGGCAGTAGAGGGAGGATAGCCAGAATGAATGCTCTAACAATGAAATATGAGGAGCAGCAAAAGTGGAAGTAAATCAAGCCTTCAGGAGGAGAAATTGATTTTGGCTTAGTTTTGTGTTTGTTTTTTTCCCCCTTTTTACAGTGAAAGAAATTATGTAGATGCCATGTTATGAGGCAAAGGATCTGGAAGAGGGTGAGAAGAGCAGGAGTTGGAATGTAAATGTAGTAAAACAGGCATTGGAAAGAATGATAGTGGGAAGACAAGATTGAAAAGGAAGCTTAGTGATCAGAAAATTCAAGACTGAGAAAGACTGTTAAGGGTGTCCACCTTTCCAGAGAGAGAGGAAAAGTGATATTGCTTCTATTAACAGCAATTAAAATTGAAGAAAGAAAAAATAAAATTGCATTTAAAAAGTTGAACCTACTTAAAATTTCTTTTAAGGTCTTTAATAGAAGGAAACTAATAAACTCTACTGTGATAGAGTGTTAGGAGTCATGAGCAGATGAATTAGTAAAGTGAATACTGAGCACAGGTAGAAAAGATATCCTAAATGTCAATAGATTGGTCACAGATAATCTAGGTACAAGGCTAAGAAACAAGTGAATAGTTTTGAATAATCTTACTGATAGGGTGTCAAATTTGGGACGACTGTGATTACAGGAAGTTGAGAGCAGATTGTCCGCACCAAGACCCAAAACCTTGGCAAGGATTCTGTTGCTAGATAATAGTGTGTAGAGGTAGGTGAGAAATAATTATGAACTAACGGGAATGAATGTTTGCTTTGACCAGAAATCAGCTTTGCAAAGTTCTAGAAAGGGATGGTAAGAAACAACATAGTGTTAACCTTTTGGGCATATAGATTCTGTCTTTTCCAAGGCTAATGCCCATTTTATTTAGTGGTGTTCTCCCTCAGGATATATTGAAATTGCCTGTTCACCCAATCCTTTTTCTTAATGGTTCAGCCTATTCTTTCTTTCTACTGAGAATATTATTTCTGTTTTCTTTCCAACCCTAAATTAATTTTAAAATTATACTTGTTACCTATCCTGTGAAATAAATTGCAGTTATTTGTAAGTCTTTCTCTTTGTTTTTATGTTTTGTTCCTCTGCTCTGCTGTGTAGCTGTGTTAAGTCTAACCAACTTACCCTTTCTGTAGATGATCCTTGAAAAGAAATTAAATAGCCATCCAAAGGAGCAAGTGTGGAGAGAAAACATTCCGCTAAGTCAGTCTGAATCCAGGCCACTTCTTCCAAATTCCAGTTCTGTTACTTTACCTACCAGGAAAGGCCAGAGGGAACGAACACCGCCTCTTCTGAAAACTTCGCATGTGCATGCTGGAATTACAACTAGCGTTCAGCCAGAAGTATCCAGCTGGAGTGAAGATTTAGCAAGAACTTTATGTCAGAGATCAAAGATCAATGTGATATACAATCCCATAACACACACTGCTGTTCAAAGTAGGTACTACCCTCCTACAGTGGGATGTAATCCACCTTATTATGGGAAAGAAAGAAGAAAAGAGATTGAGTGGAGGAAAAGAAATAAGGGGAATTTACATGGCAAAATGAGAGGGTGAAAGTGTGGGAGGAAAATGACATAGGAACAAACACTGTTGAATGAGTTTTTGAGTGTATGACATTCTCTTTGGCTCTTTCCTGCCTCAGTCTTGACAATATGTTCCTTTCTGTTTTCTCTTTGCTTTTCTACTGCTGTTATCTTTTCCCATGCCCTTTTGAACTGGTTTTTTTGCTACTACATTCTAAGTTTATTCTGAATATTTTTGTTCTGTTTGTGAGATGAAGCGAGGTGGCAGGGGCTGACTCAGTTTTTATGTTCTGTCCCTGCCTCAGTCAGTATGTTCTGTGTCCTCATGATTTTCCTACTTTAATGTTTTTCCTTCTGCAGGTAATGCAAATTCTGGTGCTGTGATCAGGAATTGTTCTGCATCACCTTCTCAACAGGCCAGAATCTCCAACAATAGGAAACTGAGGAGACAAACCACATGGGCAAATGCAAATGCTCAGCTACCTCCTACAAGTGTACAGAACCTTTATAATGTGAGTAGCAGTCCTACTATAGACAGAAAATATCTTAATTTGCAACTTTGTAAAGATACTTAAATGAGAGGCAAGACATATTGCTTTGTGAATGACTAAATTAATAGATTTTTTATCAGCTAAAATTACTTATGACAAAGATATACACTGCAGTTTCGTTGCTTGTATGTAGTGTCAGCCAAATGGTACCAGTAACCTAGTTTGATAAGGTAGTTGGGCTTGTATAGAGTATGTTCCCTTTACTAGAGAGCTGAAGAGTGTGCTAACTGAAGAGTTTCTGCTAGTAGGGGAAATAACTAGACATAACTTGCTTCTAATATGGGGTGGATTCATATAGGAACTGGCATATTGCAGTCTTCAGTGTTGCAATACCTACATTTCAGGTGTTTTGTCTACTAAGGAAGTTTATGACCCTGAGTTAAGTTCTGTGCATGCGGCAGAGTGTTGAGAGGGAGACCATTTATAGTAATCACCAGGAAATGCCAAGGCTGCAGATATGGCTTAAACCTTACATCTCTGGCATATGTAATGCTGATCTTCAGCTAGTCTGGGTTTATAAACACTAACTTTCTCCTGGAGTCTTAAGTCTAACCCCAGTATTTCAAAAAAACCTATCATCTCTGACTTGAGCAGCAAGAATATTTTCGTGCCTATAGGTTTATGCAGCAGTTCTGTGAATGACTGTTGAATTTAAGTACAAGAATTAGGTACTTCAGAGAACATGAAGTAAAACAGTCCTTTTGTAAATCTAGGTCTCTGCCTCATTAGCAGTATTTTTTTCACAAAGATTAATTGTAATGGATCATATTTGTCAGCTAACTGTAATCAAAAAGAAAAGCAAAAATATCTCTGCAGATTCTCTGCTTCTACTTCTTTTTCCCATCTTGAGTTTTTAATGCAACCTCTTTTGAGATGTGCTGAGATATAAGACTTTTTTCCACTGCCCTTTTTCTAGAGGACAGGCTAATTTTGGACTCCATTCTACTTTCAATTTTATCACTTCAGACAAGTGAGGATTTGAACACCATTTCAGATTATCACATTGTTCAGATTGTCAGCAGCACCAAAAACTCCCTTTGACTTTGAGAATCATAGATCAGTTGCTTTTACATTATCTTCAGTGATGGCTTGTCCTGTCCAAAGTGTGTAGGTAGCACATTCTTTTTTAAACAAATTGAGACTGTTGCATATTCCAAACGTAGCTGGAGAATTCGCACTACCTCTGGAATCAACCTAATGGATTGCTGTTGCTGAACAGTGAAGGTTTCAGTCCTGTCCTCTCTGTTCCTCTCTCTTCCCTGTTCTTGGCCACGCTTCCTTGTAAAAGTTCTTATCCTCACTGGGTTCTTAAATGACCTCCTTGCCCCTGCTTTTTCTTTTTCCTGAGCTAGTTGTCTGCTGACTAGCCCAAGGAGAGTCTAGCCAACACAAGGTGATCAGAGGAAGCTTATGGCAGAGGAAGAATATGGAAGGAGGCACCACAGACTGGTGGTGGTGTATTATTATTACCAGTATCTTTTTTGTGACACTAAAGATTGACTTGTTTGTCGTGTAACTTTCTCACATCCCCACAAAAGAATACTTGAGTGTCTATGTGCTGGAGCTCCAAACCATTCAAAATGTATGCTGAGCACAGTTGTGTGAAGGGACTTCTGACAGACACCACTATCAAAGATGAGTTGGGTGGGATCACCTGCTTTGTGTCAGCATACAATATCACATTTACCTTGAAGCAAATTATTTCTTTGAACACAGCTCTGAATTATCTGAACCGTTTCAAGCTAGAAACAAGCTGCAGACACTGAAGATTCAAGCTTGTTCCTACTGGATCTCTTCTTATTGTTGTGATTGATATGAAAATACATATGAATAACTGCTAAAAGGAGACATGATTACCAGTAACTTACAAGTATGTCCACATGCACACTTGCAACCCATCTTTCAGCCCTTCTGCTTTGGAATCCCATTCAAAATGTTTTGAGAGTGAGAGGAACCATTTATTCCACAAGTGTGGAGCAAGTGTGGAACCATTTATTCCACAATATGAGATTGTAGAGATTGCTGCATGTGCAGATGTACATGTGCAGATGTACACATGAACAATGCATTTTGAAGAATCTTTAGGTAATTGTGACCAACTTTCTGTTACTGGAAGAGCATAATAGGGAGATCACCCTACACATGCCCTGTGCTTTATATTTTTTCCCTGAGAGGCTAATACTGACTAGTGTCGGAGACAGGATATTGTGGTAGAAGGTCATCAGCATTGTGGCTGATCTTATGTTAAGTGAATGTTGACTTCTCCATCTATCTCATTCAGCCTTGGCAGGAGCTGAAAAGTTCTGACATTCCAGATTGCTCTGCATTCAGTCTGCATTAATTTTCAATATCCTGTTAGGCTCATGAAACACTTGTTCTCAGCCATTTGACCAGGAAAGACTCCTGTAATGGCTGGGGTGACAGCAGCCAGTGCCACAGTAGTGAGTGGAAACTCTTGCCTTTCAGCCAACTGTAGAGGTTCACAAAGCATAAGCTGCAGTGAAACAGCTCTCCTCTTGAACTGCAGATTCAAATGTATTGTAATGTATTAATGTATTATTAACTTTTCCCCACAGGGGCTGATAAACACAGTATCCATATGCAGCTTCCAACTCAGAAAGTCACCAAGCCATTTGGTTGGCAGAAGCCAGGAGGATATACTGGGGAATGATGATGATGATCTGTCTTTTGTACATATATTTAAAGCATTCACTACTGTTGAAAACAAGATACTAGCCAAACAGGCCTTTGGACTTTTGCTCCAGTGCAGGATTAGTTTGTCGTGTCTTGCTCCAGTGCCGCTAGCTCATTCTTGATACACCCGTTCTTAAGCCCTTCTCCCTCACATCATTCTCACCATCCTATTCTTGATCTTACAAAACAGTCTGTTTTGTTTATTATTCATATAACATTCATGATCTGTCCTACTCCTCAGCTGAAGCAAAATCTGTGTTCCTTATTTGTATTTTAGAAAGTTGATTACAGGTTACTAACTATCTTGGCTTTTCTTTCTCACACAGAATCCAAGAAATACTCAATTGCACAGCAAAGATGTTCATCCCCTTCTGAAGTCCAGTAAAAAGATGTTCCAGATTACTGCAAATATGGGAGCTGCTGGTGATCCGAAAGCATCAATGGGTAGTTACTCCCAGGCCTATGGAACCATATGTAAATCCGCACTGCAGAGTCTTCCAATATCAAATTCTTCCCAACAGCATGAGCAGTGAATATGGAAGTGTTCTAACCAGGTGAAGTACAGTTCATCTCATCAGTTCCCTAACTTAGCCAGTAACAGCAAGTGAGAGCAAAATACAACAGGCGTTTGACAGTTACCCCAGCTGAAAGGAAATGCTTTATTCATTGCATGGAACAATGTACTACTTTCCTCTGGACAAACCAAGAGGAAAGAGAATGTAATCCCTTTGCCTTCCAGTCTTACCAGACAAGGGCACAGCACTATTTCCTCCCATACCATGAGAACAATTAATACTGTCAGTTCATATTCCTCATTTGAATTTATTGCAAAAATTACAGAAAACTGCAATATTCTGATACTTTAATGTATTTAGACATATTCAGACTATTCAGGGCCTGTAGACATATTCAGACATATTCAGGGCCCATGTGAACCTCATGAGGTTCAACAAGGCCAAGTGCAAGGTCCTGCACCTGCATCAGGGCAACCCCCAGTATCAATACAGGCTGGGGGATGAAGAGATTGAGACCAGCCCTGCAGAGAAGGACTTGGGGGTACTGGTGGATGAAAAATTGGATATGAGCTGGCAATGTGCGCTCACAGCCCAGAAAGCCAAGCGTATCCTGGGCTGCATTGAAAGAAGCATGGCCAGCATTTCAAGAGAGGTGATTCTCCCCCTCTACTCGGCTCTCATGAGACCCCACCTGGAGTACTGCATCCAGCTCTGGGGTCCCCAGTATAAGAAAGACATGGACCTGTTAGGGCAGGTCCAGAGGAGTGCCAAGAAAATGGTCCAAGGGCTGGAACACCTCTCCTATGAAGAAAGGCTGAGAGAGTTGGGGTTGCTCAGCTTGGAGAAGAGAAGGCTCCGGGGATACCTTATTGCGGCCTTTCAGTACTTAAAGGGGGCTTATAAGAAGGACAGAGAGAGACTTTTTACCAAGGCCTGTAGTGACAGGACAAGGGGCAATGGGTTTTAAACTGAAAGAGGGTAGGTTTAGATTGGACATAAGGAAGAAATTTTTTATGATGAGGGTGGTGAAACACTGGAACAGGTTGCCCAGAGAAGTTTTGGATGCCCCATCATTGGAAGTGTCAAGGTCAGGTTGGACGGGGCTCTGAGCAACCTGATCTGGTGAAAGATGTCCCTGCCCACAGCAGGGGGGTTGGACTAGATGATCTTCGAAGGTCCCTTCCAACCCATTCTATGATTCTTTAGCAGTTTCAGGTGCACTGCCTAAATGCGGATTTTTTTTTTTTGTGCAGAACAGGTAAATAACTATTCTCTGAAGACCAAGAAGACTAAACTCTTCACAGATAATCTTAAAGCCCTTCATTTTGTTTTCCACTTATTTCTATGACTCTTCTGGGGTAAATGAACATAATCAATGCTGGCTTCTTTTCATTAATATCAAGTAGAAAAGAATTTTAAATATAGGTGGGTTCTGCTACAATATTTAATAGCTTACCTACCATGTAATATTGTAATATTGTAAATATTGTAATAACAAATACTTTATATTGCACTACAGAAAACCTTTATCTTTCAATCAATGTTTGCTGTGTGTGAAAGGGAAAAATACAGGGGTATCTTGTTCAATGAATAATATGGTAAATTTTTTTTTTTGCTTTCAGAAAGCAATGTTCCAAGAGATACTATTGCTGAAACATCATGAAGTTGTTATCAGGCAACAGTGGGACTATAGTAAACTTTAAAACTATATTCCTGTTTTAATGCTGATTTTTAATACATTCTCCTCTTTAACTTGAAGTTCTTCTAAGAAGTCTCTGTCCCTGAAATTTTACTTCACCTATGATAAATGATTGTTATTCCAGAACGTTGGGACTATAGTTACAGAGGGGATTCAGGCACTAAATTCCAACATGCAAGTGCCACTGCCATTGATAGGATATCCATTTTATCTTTTAGTACCTAAATACCAAAGGCTAGTTAAGTAAAAAAATAGTACATTCACTTCTGGTACCAGGTGTGGTCACTTAAGTTGTGTAATACTAGGGAGCTGGGAATGCAGCTCACAGGGAAGTCCTGGTTTATTCTGGTATATTCATAAAATAGGCATTTCCTGTCTATCTCAGCTACAGGTAGATATAGGAAATGGCAATGACAGGGTGAACATGTTGTGTAGGCAGTGCTCTGTGCAGCGTGTTGGCTCTTGTGAGTCTAAGATGCCAGTTCTCATGCACAGAAAAGGAAGCCTACTGCTTAATTCAGGGTTGTGACTTCCACTGAAAGCCTAGCACCTAGCAATTTGATGATACCACACAATGTCTAAGATCCTCAGTGAACCTAGTCTCAGACTGAGAGGTGATGGGCTGTAACACTAACTTTTTATTCTTGAAATGGCTTTTGTTATCACCAAGTGAATTAGTTATTCTGCAATATTTGTATACACCTAGAACATCTGGTAATCAACATATCACTAAAAGAGATGAGTCATTCTAGTTCTGGTCAGGAACATACTTTTACACTGCACCATGCTGAGCAAGATAAAATTCTAAAAATCTAAACAAGTACAGCAAAATTCTAAAATGTTAATGTGACTATAGAAATATTTCTAACTTGTCTGTTACAGAACGATGCTGGAGCAGGTATGGAATGACGTGAGTAAGAATTACACAAAATAGGCTATATAGGTATATATCCTATTATATATATGCTAGCCCTATCTTCCTCTCTAGAGTAAAATAATCTCTATCTGTATCATCTGGCAGAGAACAACTGTATTGATCATTACAGTTCATTTTGGAACCCATCAATAACTGGATCTGATTCATTACTAAGAGCAGACCAAATAAGTATACATACAGCATTCATTTAAGAATTTGTACATAGGTAACAGATTACGGGTTGTATCTGAAATGGTATACACTTATACAATATGGAATAAGCATAAGAAATCCATTTCAGCTTTTTTTCCAATTTTGGCCGCTTCTTTCCTCCTTTTTTTTTTTTTCTTTTTTCCTCTCAACTTTATTTCTAGGTTTACCTCCTCATGTTAAAATGATAATTCCTCTTGATTTTTGCAGATTTTTACCACCATATGTATTAATATGGAAATCAGCTTAATTTTTTTTCAGATCAGACATTCTATCTTCCCGCACATTCATTTCCCAAGGTTTTCAACAAACAGTAAAATTATCATTCATTGTTACAGATATATAAATTATACAAAGCCTGCTAAATTATATAAAGCCTGTTACCATGGGAGCTGGCATCCTAAAAACAAGCTAAAGTTTTAAAGATCCTACTAAAGTTACCTTCAGGAACCAATGCAGCCTCTTGCCTCCATCTGTCAGCCATGTACCTGAACTGGTTTGCTGAGCTTGCAGCTAGTGTCACAAGTTGGTAATCATGAAACTCAAGCTAATGGGAATGGGAAATTCAGAAGACGAGTTCCATGTGAGAGCATTCTTCCCTGTCATCTCTTTAGATTACGGCACAAAGATCAGGAAAAAAAAAAATCCCAATTTGGCAATCCAGCTGGATGCCAAGCAGAGACAGTCCAAGCTGGGGAAAAAAACCAAACAGCTAAGTAACTAAACATGATGTACAGCATTTTCTTGATAGCCTCTGTCTCTACCTTCTGTCCTGCAAGACACTATAACACAACAACATGAACCTACAGGCTAATCTGGACTGTTTTAAAGCTGCATGGTTAAGCTTGGTACCAAACTACTACAAGAAAGTTACATGAGATAAAACACTTCTGAGCTTGAAAATTCCAGCAGCCTTATTCCTTCCATTGTTACGAGTCCCTTCTTTCCTTGTCTTCACGTGGAAAGATGTGCTAACAAATGAACGTGCCCTCCTCTGCACAATCACTTCATGAATTAGAGTTACATCGTCAAGGAAGTTACTACTTAGCCAAGACAGCATTTTAGATGCTTAATTAAACTCCTGACTCAGCTGAAAAGGAGTCCTAAAAACAGGTCTTTCTCCATTAATAGCATAGCAATTTCCTTTTTTATGGCCTTTCAGCTGCTGCTTTCAGCTCACCCCCTAAAGCAATACTTCCATTACACATAAGGAAACAAAACAATAACAAAACAGAATCAATAGGCTTGGAAAATGGTAAATATGAAAGCTGACCATGTATTGCTAGACAAGAGCATAACCATAGATAAGGGCAGAAAGTTGTTTATAATATTTTTTTCTCCTGTAAACCTTCAAAAAGGTGCCTCCAGTATTTGATTTGTTATAAGATACAAAGAAAAGATAACTGTACCTGAGAAACCACTGGTTTTTAAACACTTTTTCCAGTTAATGCACATGCGCACGTGTGTGTTTGTGTCTGTGTGTATTTTTCTTTCCTGGACTGAACTCAGAAATTGAATTCTTTATTTTCTATTCTTTCCTTCTGAAATTTGAATTGTTTTGTCTGCTGAAAATATTCCCTGAGCATAACATAAAGAGACTCTTACTTTATTTCTTTGTTTTAAGCATCTTGGCAATTTAATAATTTTATTTGAAACATACTGTGATAAGGTTGCCTGATACCACATGACTTTATTGGGCAAATTGTGCGATAAGAGTCTAATGCTGAACACATTTCCACTCACTAACCATGAAGAGTATTGCCTATGGTGCTTATAGCCATCATAAACAAGTTACTTCCTCATTCCCCTTTGACAGTCAGTGATTATATGGAATTAAATAGTATTTCTATGATCATTTTTTGGTCTTGAAGGTCCCCAGGATTTTGGGCATGAATTTTCCCATCTTCTTGTCTTTGGCATCTGTGTCATATTCCTCTTCACTTTGACTTGTATGTTCATCCTTTTTGCAGAAGACCTCAAATCTACTGTAGACTCGCTTCTCCTTCCGCATATTCTCCATTTTTTTCAGAAGGGTATCTCTATCCTCTGATGGTTGCCGCTGAAGATTTCGTTTCTGGCTCCCAAAGCTCTCTGACCTGTGGATGTTACAGCTTTTCTCCTTCTCACCTTTCCTTTCCAAGCTTGTAGTTGACTTAGAAAGATCAGGATTACTAGTGGATGGTAGTTGCTTGGCCAGTTCAGCTCTGTTCTTCT